TCTCTCTCTCTCTCTCTCTCTCTCTCTCTCTCTCTCTCTCTCTCTCTGAAAAGACGGACAACATGCAATATATTTTTTTTTTTACTTGTCATGTCAAGCAGACGCGTAAGAAGGGAATTCGATTGTGTCGCTCACCTGCTGCAATGGATGTCACCACATTTCATCATTCAAACACACTTCACTGCAGCAATCCGAATGGAAAAATCCAACTCTCTGTGAAAGAAGTTAATCCACACAAAATGCAATAACATTAACCGGAATTTTTTTTTTTTTTTTTGCAAATCAAGCCTGCGAAAAGTTTTGAGTGCTTCGGCGATTCCTCAAAAAATAAAACAGACATGCGATCACCCCGAAAACAGTAAGTGCACTTACTCCTGTTACGAATACGATAGGGAGAACATACAATCCCTGCTCAGTTCTGTCAGAGTTCACTACGGTGGTTTGTTCACTTACTGCTGACTGTAATGATAAGTCACCTGATACTGATGTTGGGATACCAGTTACTTGAGCTGATGTGACAGAGCCATAGATGTGTTTTATCGTTGTTGAGACAACAGTCGAACTTAATACTTGAGAGGTGTAATCACTGGGACCAAGCGAAGAAAACACTGCAGCGGGGTTTATAGTAGGATTTGCTCGCTTTGTTGTGAAAACCGAGTTCCTTGCTGTCGAAGTCTTCCCTAAATCAGTTTGAGCCAACCCCGTTGTCGTAGTAATTTTGGAATCGATTATTGCAGTAGATGTGCTGTGTTGAGCTGTCCGTAAGGCAGATGTGGTTGTCATGTCTGGTTGTTTAGTTGACACAGCAGTAATTGTGTCGGTTTCATGGGAGATTCTAGTATTTCTAGTACTTAATGGCGTAGTTGTAACAGAAAATGCTCCATTTTCTTCCCTGGAAGGTTGTGTACTTGATTGCAATATCCCCTCGTCCTCTGTAGTTTTAAAAATTTTCCCCTTTGGCAACTTCGTGATACTTTTCCAAACTGCTGACGTCACAGTCGGCTTGGCTTTTGACGTTGCAAGTGATGATCCACTCCGCACAGTTGAATGGGATTTAACATGTGACGTAGTCTTCATATAGGACTCCGATGACGATGTGAGATATGTAGACGGTGTAGAAAGTGGGTATTCATGGGTGATGCTAGAAGTCCTGGATATAATTTTGCCTGTGCTTGCAAGAGGTGAGGTAATCGAAGACTGAGTAAAAAACTTTGGTGAAAGGTTAGACTTTGGCATATCTTTGGTAGGCTGGTGTGTTGTTTTGCGGATGAACGTTGGTGTGACCGTTGTCATAGGTACAGCGGGTAGTCGGGTACGAGTTAGAGGAGGGATCGTCGAAATGAAAGAAAACGTAGAAATAGGTGTCGTCGCCCTGCGGGACAATGTTACCGTGGTGGGAGACGTACCAGTAGGAGGTGGAGTTTTCCTTCTATCCATTTCCAGTGTTACTGTCGACTTCTCATGTGCTGGTGTAACCGTCTCACTAACCCGTGTGAATTGTTCTGGTCGTCGACGTGACGTCGTATCTAAGAATATCTTTGCTGTTGATGTCTGATATCTGAATGACGTCATATGTACTAGAATTGATGACGTATCAGTGCTGGGTTTGATTTCTGTTGTTTGTGTTATAGGCAGAGAGGGCGCCAGAGGGGAGGCCGTGGAAGTAGAAGATGAGCTAGATGAATCTCTTCCAGACTGTGAAGAGGTATCCAGCGCTAACGTTGACGCATGGATTGCGCTGGCGGTTGTTTGGACAGCGGGCGATGTCGTAAGCATTAACCTCGGAGTCTCTTTGTTTGGGACGATTTTGGTGGAACTTCTAGTGGACGGGGCCGTGGTTGGTGTGCCTCCAGTAGACGGTGGTGTTGGTTTATGATTTATTGTTGGAGCAGTGTTAAGATTGGAAGTTGTTTTCCCTATAGAAATATTTTCAGGTAACATTTCAGTTGTGCTTTGGTGAGCAAACGATGTAGCGGGGAAAGAAATGGTCGATTTCAGTGCTAAGGTAGACATTTTAGACGTGTTACCTATAGTTTTCAACGTAGATTCGCTAGTTAAAGTAAGTACAGGCGGCGTGGTAAACGTTGGTCGCAGCTGCGAAGTCTTGTGGATTGTCACTGGCATGGTACTGTCATTGGAATTTGTATGGTCTGTAGAAGAACTCTTGGATGTCATGTCAGTAGCCTGTGTACGAAGGATAGAAGTCTCAAGGGAAGAAGTTTCTACACTATAAATAGGTGACGTATTTACAGGATTTTGGGCTGAAATTGGCGTGGTTCTGACAGTAGTGTGAATCGCCTTGGAAGAATTCCACGGTTTTCCCTTACCTGCAGTGTATAGAGGAAGGGTGGTCGCAGTCAACCCAGGCGTTAACGTAGGTTTTGACACAGACTCAGTGGTTGGACCGCTAGAAGAGTGTGGCGCAGTTTTTCTGCTTAAATCTGTGTTCAAATTTGAAGTAGTGGGTTCAAGTGCCGAAGGGGATGATCTAGGTGCTGTCTCCGTTGTATGCATCCGAACTGACGGCATTTTAAGAGATGTTACCGCTCCTGTAGGCTTACTGGACATATTCCCAGTAGATTTGCTTAGAACAGCTGTGCTCGTAGTCTGGAACAAAGTCTTAGGCGTGTCACTTGACTTAATCAAAGTAATTGAGGTCTCGGGGTTTGTAGTCTTAAACAGGGGCATCGAAGTTGACAAAGAAGACTTCAAAGAGGGGTCAGCTGTAGTTCCTTTGTGCGTAGTGTCGTTGTTTAGTGATAGTGTGACGTCGGATGAGGATGAAGTCGAAATAGAGGCAGTTGTTAATGTGGGCGTGGAAGTTGACGTAGCTGACGTAGTATTCAAAGAGGACACATCAGGAGTCGTTGTTACCATGCTCGTTGTCTCGGTAGGTAAAGATAGTGTGACATTTGTGTAGTAGGTGGAAGCGGGTGTTGTGAGTATTGGAGCAGACGAACCGGCAGATGCAGAATTCAAAGAAGAATATATGTTATAGGTAGTCGGACTTGTGGGAGTATGAAGACCTTTTGTCGCTATTTCTCTCGTTTTCATGGTGGCGTTGAGAGTTTTAGTGAACAACGATGTCGTCAGCTTTGGCGTTCGAACTGAAGAAGTGAAATTATCAACGGTCGATGACAACGTGGTTTTGTGGATGGGTGATGGAGGGCTTTTCGAGCTGGTGTTTTCAGATATTGTCCTAGTAGTAAAAAAGCTGATTTCTGAGGAAGCTGAATCTACGGTAGGAGACGCATGTCTGGTTCGTTGTGTCGGGGTTTCGTAGGACGATCTAAATGTGGTTTTTGTACGTGGAGCCTCAGACGTTTTGATAGTGGGTAGAGAATATGGTGATGTCCACGAATTAGTAGAAAGTGTAGCAGTCACCGAAGTTTTAGAACTGCTTGCACTTTCTTGCGTCGTTGTTTCATGCGATTCCCTTGGTAACATGTTGGTAGTGGTGGTAGTGATCGAAGGTAACATCCTCTCTGTGTATTTGCGGGGAAATGTAATTTCACTGGAAGTAGCTTTATTCACGGGCGTCGACGAAGACACAGAAGACTTATCAGAAGCAAACCGAGGCGTAGTTTTGGCAAACAGAAATGTGCATTTGTAAACTCCCGCAGTTGTGGGACTTTCGCACTGCCCTAGCTCGAGATCATCGACAGCGATATCACTAATCCGTTGTCCAACTAACTCCACAGCCTCCAGAACGATCTAAAACAAATAATAAATATTCTTGTTAATTTTTTCTATCCCTCTTGAAATCAAAGACAATAAGAAGCTTGGGTTAATCTATCTGCAATGTAGATATAGTATTAGTCTGGCCTAGTAATGTGGTAAATGCTTTGTCGAAAATTTTTTTTTACAAAATTGGAACTGGTGCCGTAAGTTGTAAAATGTTTGTTTAATCAAATATAACAATTTAATGTTCTAAGCAACTTTGTTGTGATATCAGAAGCGGGAGAGACCTGGAATGACTCATTTAACTGCGGTATGGCCACTGTCCCTTTCGTCCACTGATCTCCATGGTTTCCACGCGTACTAAATATGGTGTTATTGGCTATTGTCTTTGAACTGATGTATATATTTAGTTCACCAACAGCTGGAAGTAAACAAATCTTTTACTACAACCATTTAAACGACGTATGCTTGTCAAAGATGTCCATGTTCAATTTATTCCCTTTCAACTACAGACTAATGTAAAATGAAAAACGGAATTGGGACATCCTTCACGCAACCGAAGCATTTCCAATGGTAAACATGAAATTTACAGTATTCATATTCTGTTTTAACTGATGTTCTTCTGTAAAACTTAGGGGAAAACAAGCACATATTTCATGTTAACCAAGTGCTTCATAATACGAAAACCGTGCTTAAATGACAAACGACAAGCTTTAAATCTCTATGTGGATAAAAGGGCCCACTTCACATCTTTATCGGGACAAGTTTACAAAACTATCATAGGTTATCTTTTAAATTGTTTTATGATTATCCTCTAATATTTACCATCGTGATTCTTAAGGCCAGAGTCAAAAGGTTTGTCAAACATGTGGTACCAAAATTCAAAACAACTACTGCTCAAATTCGCTTGGAAAACTGGTGAAGAAAGTCGAATCTTATCTCCCTGCTTCATGGGACTTGATTCCATGTATATGTAAAAACCTGGAAGGAAATAAAATATCCTCAAAGTTTCTTAGCATTTTTTTCCAAAGAGAATAAATAACCAAATGGAAATTGAAAATTTTTGAAAATTGTTTGAGGGATTGAGACAGAGAGAGAGAGAAAAATTTTTCAGGATGCACCGACATCTTTTCGTAAATGAACTACAGACCTGCTGTTGTATTTGTAGTGTGGTCCACACTTGGTCCAGTATAGCGCGTGGGTGTTCTCCCTTTCCACCTCTTCCAGTTTCCTTTGTCAGACCCGAAATCTTGTGACCAGCCGCAAAACCCGACTTCAAAGTCGCAACTTTCGTACACGTTGTGGCCTGCTGCGTTTCCTACGTCATACATGTAGCAATAAACAAATTTCACTTACCGATTTGTTCAATCGATCAGGAACTCCATGAACACAAACAGAAAGACAAGCAGAAGAACAATAGAAATAACATACTGTTCAACTTAAAACAATCGGTCTTCTATAATATCACATTCATTAAGGAATAAATCGAGGCTCTAAGATTCAGCACATTCCAAATTATTAGATTTTACCTATAATATGTTTTACATGTTTATATGAAGTAATTACCAACTGTAGTCATTCTATCGGCATAGCATGTAAATATACAGTACGGTGAAACCCGCTTGTGGTTTCTATGTGCTGTGAATATTTTATATTGACCGAAAATATCCGCACGCACGCGCTCACGTTCACATACGTTCACAGAAATTCCCGTACCTGAGATAAACAACCCTCTCACATGGATGACGAACACTGCAACAACAAGAAAAGATGTGAACATGTCGACTGTCATCACAAGTAACCCTCAAAAAAGAATGTTGCGCTGCACCTGCGAAAATGGTCGCTTTAAAAAGAGGTTCACATCTCATGGAAACACAGAGACGAGCACACTTAATTCTAGTGAAATTTGACTTGTGGGCACAAACAATCTGGATAATGACGGGATTAAGTCCCTTTATTTTTGAATCAATTATCGATGTTTAACCTGTCCAAGAGAGTAGGTCGTGTGGCATGAATGGGGGAAAACGATAAGAGGAATAATTTTGGGTATATGTTGGGTGCTCAACAGTTGGCATCGGTATTTTCTTTGTGGGAAAGATTTTATTAGATTTTAATGTCGGTAGCAACATGACCTTGTGGGTAATTTAAACTTGAAATGACGACACTCGTTAGATAATGTGTTGATATTTTCAGATACATGTAGCATCTTTTTTTTTTTATTTTGCGCATTTAATTTTTTTCTTTCCCGCTGTTAAAGTCGGAAAGGCGTATTACTTTTCTGTATGCTGATACAAAAAGTTGTATTTGGTAATGTGCTTAAGGACTTTTTCCACAACGCTGGTAATTTTATTCAAAATAATTTTCATGTTGAACACAAATATTTGCATGGACAAATCATTTAAGAAATGAATAATCATTTTATTTTGGGGGATTCTAAGTAAAACTTAAATCCTATCTATACTCGACTTAGCTCTTTTGTAGATCAAACAAAGAAAAATCCTTTGATTAGAAAATAGATACGTAGAAATATGTCAAAGTGAGTACAAATGAGCATACTCCCATCGCACCAGTATAGCTACACGTATGCAATTATGAATAATTCTAAGCTGTTGGCACAGCGCCTCAAATCTTAATCCTAAATTCGACGGCCCGAGCTCGATGCCGACTGAGGACAGTATTGAGCAGTTATTCACATGTTTGGGACATACATATACATGTACTAAAGGTTTTCGTTATATTCCATTTTTGTTTATGAAGGTTTAATTAAATTGTACAATGTACAATGTACATGATAGTGTTTATTTCGTTGAGTTTATTTGCTAGAATAGTGGAAGCAAAGTATCAATAAGAAATATGGAGAAGACAAGTCATTTTGATAACGTTTCTTTACGCGAGGACGTAATCTATGACGTCACGCTGTTTTAAAGATTATGAACTACTAAGATAAATTTAATGACGATTTTAGTGGCCTTCAACCTTCTCTGAGTTTTCTGTTATGACCATAGATGGTACTGGAGCGACTCTGTGTCCTTTTCGGATAAAATACCAGAGTAGGAGCCCGGTTAAAACCAGCAAGACCAACCCTCCTAAGCTGGCTCCGACAGCTATGGGAACGATATTCTGTTGACCTCCTCCACTTCCTCCAGTTTGCTTCTTGAGACCACTTTTACTTGTGTTGGTGTTGTGGTAAGAAGCCGTTGTCCCAGACACTAGATGGGAAGAGCTCCCAGTTGTGAATTGTTCAAAAGTGGCGGTTGTGAAGACATTCCCCACGCCAGGTGTGACCTGTTCTGTAGTTTTATCCAAGACAGGAGAGTTCGTAATGAGTTTTGCTAAAGTAGGAGCAATACCCCCAGAAGTGGTCTGTTTCAAAGCTCCAGAATTGCCTCTGGTAGTTCGCCTGGGAATAACTGATGTCATCTGAGTGATTGCCGTGTTGTGGATTGGTGTGGTCGTGAGGCTGTCAGTAGTCATGCGGCTGGCAGTAGTCATGCGGCTGCTAGTGGTCGTGAGGGTGGCAGTGGTCGTGAGGCTAGATGTGGTCGTGAGGCTGGTTGTGGTCGTGAGGCTAGGTGTGGTCGTGATGGTGGCTGCGGTCATGGTGGTGGTTTCAACGGTTGTTGTTGACCTGTTACAAACACCCAAAGTTGTAAGACTTCCGCACGGCCCCAGCTTGAGATCGTCGATAGCAATATCACTGTTCGGCTGACCAAATATGTCCACAGCTTCTAGAATTATCTACAGAAAACAATAGAAAAATTATTTACTTGCTACACCGTATATACATGTAGTACATCTTCTAGAGTTCATATTTTTTGGCTAATTTACCTTTTAATATGGACATTACACACAAAATCCTTTCATCAAGTGGTGATAAGCAACATATCTTTATTTGATTTCATCGCCAATCTTTATCTGTTCTATCATATACCGTAAAAAGCACACGCCTGCATTATTTACTACGTATGTCATAAACTACGACAGTCGCTATGATACTTGAAATAAAACACACCTGAAATGACTCATTTAACTGTGGTATGGCCACCACCCCCTGAATCCATCGGTCTCCGTGGTTTCCACAAGCATTAAATATGGTGTTACTGGCCAGGCCCCCCGTTGTAATGTAAATATTTAGTTCTCCTACAGCTGGAAGTAAATAAATCATAATATTTACCATTGTTTGTGTCGCAAAATGTGCCACTGGCTGTATCTCCATTCAGACATGAAGACAAAACTGAAGTACCGGTATTCAGTTCAGCATAGCATTTGACTTAACATTTAAATAATTTTCATTTTAGCCTTTATAACTTGACATCGATATAGATTGTTGAAATTTGACAAAACAGAGAATACGCATTGCGATATTTAATATATTATATCTAGTGCTGCGTGAAACAAAAATAATGCGATAGAACCCTGTGTTTATAACAGTCCATCAACCCAACCTTATCAAGGTATGTTTATAAAACTATCACATGCTATCTTGTAAGATTGTTTTATAATTGCCACCTTATATTTACCATCGTGGCTCTTGTGGCCAAAGTCAAAAGGTTTGTCAAACATGTGGTACCAAAATTCAAAACAACTACTGCTCAAATTCACTTGGAAAACGGGTGAAAGAAGTCTAATCTTATCTCCCTGCTTCATGGGACTTGATTCCATGTATATGTAAAAACCTGGAAAAATAACAATATCATCGAAGTTTACCCAACCCCTTTTTTCAAAGAGCTCAAAGACCACTCAATTCATTTCTTCTGCCAAACCACTAAATCAATTGCATTCCAAAAGCATACAAAGCTACTTGTGGTAAAATATAATTTTCCGGGAAATTGCAGCAGTGTTTCCTTTGCCGTTAAGGTCTAAGGCACGTGATACATATACTGTGAGAGTATAACAGTCTACATGTATAAACTGGTTTTTAAACTCTTAATTTCTAATATTTAACGTAGCGAATGAAATTCAACATCGGCTCCATCTTCATAACGAGGCGGGCTCAAAAATCAGAAACTTAGCATTCATAGGCCGGTCTATAGATAAGGATTTTGTAAAACTTATAACACTTATTTATTTGGTATCCATGTACCTCTGTTTTTAAAATTATTGGTAGTGTTGACATTTCCATGAAAGTTAAAGTTTTCCTTTATAAAGGCTAAACGTTAAAAGTTTGAATTAGTTAATGCAAAAAGCTTTTGAAACAGAACCAACATCAATTTAAATTTGTCCACAAACCTGCCGTTGTATTTGTCGTATGGTCCATAATTGGTCCAGTATATGGCGTGGGTGTCCTTCCTTTCCACCTCGTCCAGTTTCCGTCGTCAGACGCGATATCTTGTGACCAGCCACAAAACCCGACTTCAAAGTCGCAACTTTCGTACACTTTGTTACCTGCTACATATCCTACATCATACCAATAAACAAATTTTACTTACCGGTTACTTTGTCGATTCTTTAGTCCATTAGGACATTTGAAATAATTGGTCCATTTCTTTACAATATTAAAAAAAAATACTGGTCGTAGTATGATCCGACGCAATTCAAATTTGTTCACGTCAATAATTAACACTGGGGAATTTCTATTAACATGTCTGTATACGTAAATATTATGTATCAAAGTGCTATGGATATTTCATATTGAGGAAAAATATTCGTACGCACAGTCACGTTTGCATACTAAACTAATATAAAATACATGTACCTGATATAAACAATCCACTTATATGGATGGAGAATGCAACAGCAGTTAGAAATTTTAGCATGTCGACATTCACCAGTCGTAACCATCTGAAAAGACTGTGGCGCACCTGCGTATCTGGTCACTTTTTAAAAGATTCAAACCACGCAGATTCTACTGGGTCTGACAAACTTAATTCGGTGAAGATTGACATGTGTGAAATATCTTGATAATGACAAGATTAAATCCTTTTATTTCTGAATCAATTATCGTTGTTCTACCTGCGCGAGAGTGCGTGTCGTGTGGCATAAAGCGATCACAGGAATAACTTAGGATATGCCTACCCTCAATCAGAGCCACATATAGCGAGAGTCTTTCATTTGAAAACGACAGATGTTTCTCTGGCTTGTCCTAATTCTGTGCATATTGTAGTGCATGTTGAGCGAGAATTTTTATACAAAATTTCAAAAATGACGTCATCATCCGGCTGCTCTCTGTTAGAGAATAGGGTACAGTGAACTTCATTTAATGTTCATAATTCAAAACTTATATTTATATCTGTTTTGTGTTTAAATCGAGAAAAAAGTGATGTTTTATGTGTAGGCCTACTAATAACACTTGTTATTGCATTTTCATTCGCGACGTTATCGGTTTTATTCAAGTTGAACAAAACTTATACAGTGTACCATATGAAAATTTCACGCCATTTGGGGCTCTACTATAGACCCTGACTGCAATTAATGCTGTTTTAGCTGCTTCACAAATATGAGAAAATATGGAAGCTGTCTTCTAGCAAAAAAATGTACATTTTAAGTGCACCTGCTTACCTATTGGCACAAGAACCCCTGCCCCAACCAAAACTAACAAAAAATGTTGGGGAGCCTTAGCTCATATCCGAGATAAATACGCGCGGCAGCTCTCCTCAGACCGAATAAGGACCTTTGTGTCGCAGGAATGATGAAGTGAGCTTCTATTATCTAATCTACCAATGTCACCACTTCCCGCAAATATTAGTGATACACCACCCCCTTCCCCTGCCTGCCTTCTATTTACCCTATCTACGATAGTTCCCAGACCTTGACCTAAACCACTAAATTAATACCCTCCCGTTATTGCTAAATACACCACACAATGGCGTGCAAGATATCCATGTGGCTACCTTTTGCTACAACGGCGATCATGGTAAATGCCTCCCCTACGCCATGTTGTAAACCGAAGCAATGGGAAGGCCTGGTGACGCTTGGTATGGCAAACTACGTCCACAAAAACGACGATGTTTCCTTGACGCGAGGGACGATAAATACGACATATGACTACCTTAACATGAGGGAGGCACAAGTGCAGGATTTTCATGTGTCCCCACCATTCCCATATTACACGGTTAAAATGACTGTCATCAAGGACTACAAAAAGGTGGGACGCATTTTTTTTTCAGTTTGCATAAATTTGGGATAATGGAGGGGGATCTTTGAAAGGCCAGAACTGTGGACGTGAGCTTCGGGCTAAAGTTTGATCATTACTATAAATGTAATCTAGTACCAGTACTTGGGAGAGTCACTTTGACAGCGCTGCAGCAACAGCACTGCATAGAATGTGTGGCAATATCGCAATGCGTTTTGTAATATACCCATGGCGTTTTTTCTGTCCTTTTCTATCATGTTTCCACTCTGAATGTTTTGTTTCAATCAAGGGAATGCAGTGGGAGATCATCGAGAGCAATAAAACGTGCACAACAAGAAAACTAAACAGCAGCATGTCTCCGCCCTGTATACCAGGTACGTGAGGGTAGTGGGGTTATTAATATTGCTGTTACTTACTTCTGAATCAAAATGGGTATTTTATTACACGAGTATATTCTAGGTTGACGTTTTTGTTAACCTTGATAAGTATACGTGTACTATTTACTTTCTTGTACAAGCATTTGTGGAAGCACAATCTCTACTCAGATGCATAAGTTCTAAGACGTGGGTTTACACGTGTGTGTGTGTGTGTATGTGTGTGTGTGTGTGTGTGTGTGTATGTGTGTGTGTGTGTTTGTGTGTGTATGAAGAGACCTACACATACTGAGCTCGGATTTAATCTAGCTATTTAATAAAACTAAAATTAATACGAAGATAATTTTGTCAATCACAATTGCCGCAATCTGTATGCCCACTTTGATTCAAAAGGAAATGTATAAAATATGCTCCAAACATTTTTTTGACGTGAAAGTGTATTTATCAACTTCTACACCATTTATACCGAGCGGTTAGATCGGTACTAGTACATGTGCATTGTTTCTGCTGCACAAGGTGCGTCACCGATAGTGGATTGTGTTAAATGTGTTAGATGTGACAACTGGCCACACCATATGAAAACGCTATACATGCCGGTAATCTGTCAGCACTTTTATGTATTTTATGTATTTTACATGATACATGATACCTAAACGCTTTCAACTGCACATGTATCTGCTCTTACACAGCCAATGCACAATTCCAAGGCACGTACCTCTTATCGCAGACCCTCGAGGTAGATCGTTGGTACGTTGACGCACCTGCAGCGAGCCAAGCCACCGTGTATGAAGTGGAGTCCAAGACATGCTGGCCGGTGTCGGAGACAAGAAGATCAACTGTCCCAGGTAGGGTGTTCAGCTATATAATTTATACCATAATGAAAAAAAAGGCAATACTTGGGTAATTTGGAAAAAATATCATAGTCAGATAAAAGACAGATATTGTGATTGTGATAGGCATTCGTTGTTTGATATTATTTGGTTTTGTTTCAATTTAACTTATTTCATTTATTTATTTATTTATTTATTTATTTATTTATTTATTTATTGTATTACTTATTTCAGATATGTTTAGGCTGACAAGTTTAACCTTTGAAAATGTTACGGCTGGGATAAAGAACCCGGGGATATTTAACCTGCCGAGCTACTGTCCCCCAGGGAAGTAGTAGATGTACCCTGAACGCGTTTGAATATGATCCTTTTTAACCAAAATTTCACCTGATAAATCAAGTTACTAGGGCACATGCTGGATAAACTTCCAAAAAGGAAATCGTCAGGTCTAAGGAAAGCAATACACGAAGACAATGAAATGCAAAATTCGTGTCTCATACTCAAGTCTTGCGCTGTGGTCTAAGTTGTCGTTGTTCTTTTTCTTCTTCTTCTTCTTATTATTATAATTATGTTGTTTTTGTTGTTGTTGTTGTTTTTAATTTGCATTTACATATTATCCTCTTTCCAAACGATTATTACAATCAGTGTAATAAAATCACAATATATATATTGAAATAATTAAGTGCATTTTATAGAGATATTATCGGAAGTATGTTCTACTTATTCTTTATTCTAATGTTTTAAAAAACTAATATTTCTGTTAGTTTATTGTTTATTTCAATTATCAAAATCAATCGACAGTAGAATGAAAGACCTGTGACAAGAGGTAAGGAAAAAGGAGGCAGTTGTTTATTTATTTATCAATAAATTTACCAATATATTCGTTTTCAAACATTTACCAGGTGTTGCCGTAATGCCTCTGCGTCTGTTCAAGGAGGAGGGGGGCTTTTTTTCCTTCCTTCTAATGTTTATCTATCTCTCGCTGTTGCGTAAGCTGTGAACAATACCTTTTTTTAAATTGCGCGCTTCATTTTTCTCTAGGGCACCCACATTCAGAAGAACATGATATCTGTATTTTGCTATAGTCAAAAATATAAATAAGTAGTTCGACACCTGGGTGTACCCAGAGCCACATTAATTTTCACAGTTTATAAACACCAATGGGCACGTGTAGTGGTAACAATATTTTATTTATATCGCTCACTACAAATACATGTAGTAATGGAGCGGTCGTTGACTTGATTTAGTGAATTAAATTAAGCCGTCCTTTCCCAAGTAGTCTAATGACCGTGAGGTTACCATCTCAAATGACTTTTTGAACATATTGCCGCTGATGAAAACGAGCACATAAATACATGTAGTATGAAAGCTGCGATAAGGTGAGTCATTTTCTTCTTGACACCAAGATGTAGCCAATTTTATACCCTAAATTCCATGCTGAGAATCCTTCGACATTTTCTTCGATATTCGTGGCATACGTAGACATATAATCACAATACAGTAATCAATTGGGGAAAATTGTGAATTTTACAGATACTGAATTTTGGAAAGTCATAAATTCTAAAAATTAGTGAAATTCCTATTAAGTGATAACAAAATTAAAAAACAGGTTTACTCTCTAAGCGCTATTGTATACGGTAAAACACCAAAAATGCTACACGGAAATATAACTCTAATGATTCCAAAATTAGGTTTCTAAAAGATGGATCATTTTTGCCCATTGAAAAAATCGAGTCATTTCCGTACTCATCAGCCACATGTATTTACATCAGCAGTAGGCCGTTGCAAAAATTAGAATCAGAAATAATATACAATGGCTCAGTTATCATTGAGGCTGTTGTAAAAGAGATTTGCATCCATGCCTCGATAAGGTTTGGTTCTACATGTATTTCATAATTAATAAGTTAATTCCCTTCAATGTTTCTCGGGTCGATAACACTAGTACTCCACAAAAACAGCGGACGTATCATAGTGTCTTTAAAGGCTCTCTGTGTAAACCTTTGGTGAGTTTTCAATATTCGACATGGAGGGTCTGGGGCTCACTCCTTTTTGTCCTTTTCTTTTTGATATAAAATACCAGAGTAGTAGCCCTGTTAAACCCAGCAAGACCAGCCCTCCTAAGCTGGCTCCGACCGCTATGGGAACGATATCCTGTTGACCTCCTGCTCCCCCAGTTTGCTTCTCGACGCCATTCTTTCCTAGGTTGGTACCATGGTTGGATGCCGTTGTCGCGGACACCCGATAAGAAGAACTCTGAGAAGTTGTCTGGTCGAAAGTGGCATTTTCCAAGCCAGAGGTCACTTGTTCTGTGAAGGGAGAGTTCGTATTGAAGTTTGCTTGGGATTGTGTTTGCGTCACGGGTACCTTCCCAGGGTGTGGATTTGTAGAAGACAGTAATGTTGGTGATGCACTATTGACTTGACTTGACGGAATTTTGGTCGTAGAAATTTTTCCGAGGACTAAAGGTTGCTTGGAGATTGGCTTATTGGGAGCGGTACTACCTTTAGTTGGTCTGCTTGTCGGTGGCGCTGTTGTTTTAATACCTGTAGGCGTAGTTTGTTTGGGATTTTTGGTCTGTGATTTCGTAGTCTTTCCTATGCCTACGTGAAGCTTGGGGGTTGGCGTGTTAGGGGTGGTGCTACTTTTTGTCGGTCTGCTTGTCGGTGGCGTGGTGGGTGTTGTATAATGTGCAGACCAAGCATGAATGGGATCAGTTTGGATCATCGTGGGCACCATAGGAACCAGTGTAGGTGGGGCCATCGTCGGCATTGGTGGCGCCATAGTGGGGACAATGATATGGGTAGTAGGTATCGGTGGTGCCAATGTTGGAGCAATACCCCCTGGGCGAGGAGTTGGCACTGCAGGAAAAGATGTCTGTTTTGCAGGTGTAGGGCTGACTCTGGTGGTCTGCATGGGGATGGTTGATATCATCTGAGTGACTGTCGTGGTGGGGGTTGGTGTGGTTGTGGTGGCTTTGGTGGTGGTTGTGGTGGCCATAGTCGTGGTGGTTGTGGTTGGGGTTGTGGTCGTTTTGACGGTTGACGTTGGACAGGTAAGGCGTTGTCCCTCTGGAGAAATATTCAATCGAAATTGTTACTAGTAATTAAATATGACCAAATGAAACGAAATAATAAGTTATGAAAAAAATATATATATTGAAAATTTGCAAACATTTGATATATTTGTTTTACCTTTTACAATCTTTTACAATCAAGAAAGTTCTTATTAACTTTTTTCTTTTTTCCCAAACTTGCCTAACACAATTACCTAATGTATAACTCACCTTCACATTGGAAAAACTTCAAATCATCCAAAGCGATGTCACTCGCTGAAGAGCCAGCCGTGTCCACAGCTTCGATTATAATCTATAAGAAATGATGAACCTGTTTATTCATCTATTTCTCTACCTAGCATTGTTGAACTTGTCAATATTACAAAATTATTTTAAACTGAAATGTAAACTATAAGTTGTAAAATACTTGTGAACTTTTTTGAAATGAATAGATTACCTGGAATGGTTGTGTTTGACATGGGATAGTCATGTTGCCATGGATCCATACATCTCCATGGTTACCCTGATCACTGAATACCGATATCAAATTCATAAAGCCTTTAGCTTGGATGTAAACATTCAGTTGGCCAACATCTAAAAAATCACCAATAGTTCGCTATTTAATTTGTGAGATGGGGGTTGGGGGAAGGGAAAAGAGGGCGCACCCCACTATTCAATACTAATATACATGTTTAAAGAAGTCTTATGAATAAATGATGAACATAACTGCCAAAACATTCATACGGTTAATTTAATTAACATGCAAAGTAAGCCCTTAATAATTTGCATTATTTTTACAAAGCGAGTATAATGTGCATGACTTTCAAGCTCACTTACGATCATCTTGTTTGAATCCTAAATTGAAAGGTTTATCAAACATATGATACCAGAGTTCGAAGCAACTGCGACTCTGATCTGGTTGAAACAAAGGTGACACCAAGCGCACTGTATCATTCTTGGCCGTGTGACTTGATTCCATATATATGTAAAATCCTAAATATCGACGAACATTATATTTCAAACAAAGCAGAATTAAATGACTCCAACTAAGAAAACAAAACGTTTTATCGCCTCTTCAAACCACGCATCTATGCATACGAAATCAAGCTCAAATTCTTTGTATAGCATGATGTAACTGTATACCAGGTAAAAGTCAATTTTTCTCTCAAATCTTGAATTTTTGACTACAGAAACGCTGGAAGCACAGCATAATTTAATTCCAACGGATATAAGTTACCAAAGCTATAATGTTTCTTAAAACAGCAAACACATTTACTTATTCTAATGTAGATATCACTTTGATTTGTTGTGGCATTACGATTGATCATTAATTCTTATACCTAAACTTGTTCGTGTTGTATGATCATACAAGGGGCCAGTGGAACTCGTGGGGGTGCGTCCTCTCCATCTTTTCCAATCTCCGTCATCTGTATTGTTGTCCTGCGTCCAGCCGCAAAGGTCTTGCTCGAAGTTACAAGAATCATATACAGTGTTTCCTGTTTAAAAACCACGAGAGCTCATTAAAATTGTTACAACAATTTATATTTGTTTCTGAGTAATTCATTTTGCTTCAAACACATTGAAAGCTCCTACAATTATATGCCAGATTATTGCATTTTCCAGTAGACGGTATTCCAAATCTAAAAAACGTGAAAGCTCATTCTACACCGTAACAATCGATTAAAATGACTTTTAACAAATCAAGAATTTTTGAAACTCAAATGTCCTCGATCAAATTAAGCATTCTGTTCTTGAAATTCCACCACTTTTTATTTATTTATTTTTGTCAGAGACACCGAAAGTCCCATGTCCTGTTACTGCATTGTACTGCAGAAAACAACTCGGCATGTCGACACATGTAAAGAGATAAGGCACAAACCTTGAACGACGACTCCACACAAAAATAAAACGACTGTCAGGATACATACGACCATGACGGTTGCCTCTCTGGTTTACAGCTTTAAATTCCAACAATATAAATTATTAACACCTGTATAGGTTTCCGATCTTACAGTTTCATAATCTATCTTCTCAAAAGACAAAAATCTTCTGATTCAGAGGCCAATCCACTTCATTGTGCCTCTAAAATAACCCATGAAAATATTGCTATCATTATGCACTAACAAGTTTACCTTTGTTTATAGGAAACGAATAGGTTTGGTTACTTGTGTATACTAACTTTGCATTATCTCACATTACCTGAGGCGTTTTAGATAGAGCTTGCTTATTTTACATGAAACACGTATTAAATTTAGGTGTGTCTTATTCTCTAATATCGTTAAGATACCATGGCACAGAAACGGTGCGATCACGACCTAGACAAATAAAAAACATCGTTGATTTGGGTTAGGCTCGAATAATACACAGATAGTCATAAAAGCATGTATATTTTTTCACTGTTCCTATCCCCTTTTTATGCGAAAAAAATCAAAACTCACATAAAATGTTCACGGAGAAGGGATTCAATAAGTGGGGTCATTCGTAGGATGAGAGGGGGCGTCTCGTTACCCATGTGCATTCCCTGTTCCTATCGCCGCAGAACTGTGATGACGTCATCCTCCGTTCTTACGGTCGATGAACACTTTGTCACATATCACTTTTTAACAAGCCGTTCTTATGTTTTATCTATAGGAAGGGTATTTGCACGAAAAATACAAGGGGAGGCCACGGCGATTTCAAACTATTTGAAATTGTACCATGACCCTTAGGAGCCTACGCGTGCGTCTCTTCGGACGCTCCTTAACATTCGAAAACAACACGCATCGTGTCTATTTCGTATGTTATTAAGCCCTATAGCAGCGGAATTGACAAGGCCCATGCCGCATACGTCTTTTACTACAGAGCTTTGAGTGCATTTTCGGCATTTAAGACATGTTACGACTCTTTTCTCCTTCACTGTTATCCTAACATTTTAAGACTTAACAAACTTAGCAATGTGGTATTGTAAAGACAACAAACTTTTTTTTATTTGATTACATGATTTATTTTAAAAAGTAAAATACCTGCTTCTTGTGTTTCTTTCTTCTTCATTCCCTGAAAATCACAAAACCGTTTCTCCCATAATCATTCACATGTATGTGTATTTCTTTTTGTTGAAAGTTCTTGTATTGAGAACTATTTCGACATTTAAACATATACCGGGTCAAGCAACAAGAATAAAAAACAAAAACAATAACACTCACATTGTCATTCATTATGGTATTCCACCACTACTTTAAGCACGTTAAATTAACGATGACTAGGCACTATGGAGTGCCTTAGCAATTGAGTCGTCTGTCATCTACACTGGCTGCTACCTTATTTTTTTCGTCTCGCATGATCGTCTTGGGAGAGAAATAGGTATTAGTATACATGTATCATTTTCAAATCCGTAAGTATATCTAGTACTTGTGCCGACTTCCTGTATCGCATGCAAGGATTTTCGATACACTAATGTTGTTTCCAAAGCTTGCTTTCTGTTTCTCTGAATTTTCTATTACGAGAATCCTGCAAACAATTGATGATTTAAAGTCATTGGGCAAATATAATTCAAAATTTACAAAATCAGCAACAGAAATCAGATGGCTATTCGTATGCCGTTGTCCTCAAAAATTTGAAATATGTTTATAACAGGAAAATATATATTGCCCCCTTTCCAACAAAGTTCGAAAAATTTAATATCTCTAAAAAATCTGCATCATACATGTAAATGTGCTGATACCTTGGCCATAGTAGGC